CAACCACTATTGCTGATGCAACACTGCATTTGTTTCAGATTAAACACAAATTCATTAACAGAAACAACAGCCGAGCAACCTCAGTTCAGCCACACATCCACAGCCTACTAATTTAACCCCCATTCCTTAGGTAGAACTGTAATTGTTGCGGGTTTGCCACATTATCATTCACAGAGAACTCCACTGGAGTGGGAAAAAACTTGATCCACATTGCAACCCTCACCTTAACCAGGTCACACAGCTTCTCCAAATTAGGTTGAATAGCCAGAGCAAGCTTATCAAAACAAATCAGCATAACAGACCACTAGTAGAGCAGGCCAACAAAGTAGACCAACACAGACCTATGTATCAGTCAACATATCGAAACAAACCAGCATAGCAGATCACTAGTAGAGCAGACCAACAAAACAGACCACTACCTGAGACAAAACACCCAAACCACACTAGAGTCCATCACAGTAGCAGCCATACTCAGATCACCCTCAGTCAAGATGTAGGCTCAACAAACAATAGCACATCATGACTAACCAGAGCATAACTGAGCAGCTGAACATATCAGACCAGCAACATAGCATACCAGCAATAGAGCATACCACAAAACAGAACCAGCATCAGCAAAGCAGACTCAACCACCATTCCTGATGCAACACTGCATTTGTTTCAGATTAAACACAAATTCATTAACAGAAACAACAGCCAAGTAACTTCAGTTCAGCCACACATCCACAGCCTACTAATTCAACTCACATTCCTTAGGCAGAACTGCAATTGTTGCAGGTTTGACACAATATCATTCACAGAGAACTCCATTGGAGTGGGAAAAGACTTGATCACATTGCAACCCTCACCTTAACCAGGTCACATAGCTCCTCCAAATTAGGTTGAATAGCCTTAAACAAATACTCATTTCTATGCTTCTATGTGGACCATAGAACAACAAAGGGTAGAGCCATCCAGATCTTCTTTTCCAACTTCCTCATATTACATCTAGACCTCCAGTGCAGTAGCCCATTCACAGAACCAGGTAGTGCCCATTGAAAGCCTCATTATCTTACAATTTCTAACCAAAGCTTCTATACAAAAGGACAAGAAAGAAGAACATGAACCACTATTTCAATCTCATTTTGACAAAAAACACAGTTGAGAATAACATTCCCCCCCTCCCTCAGGATTCCAATCCTATGAAGAAAACTAGTAGTTTTAACCTTACCATGCCGGGCCAACCACCCAAAAAATTGTGCTTTTGAAGGGGCATCCATATTACACAAGCCATGTCCAAAATAGGCCCAAGCCTAGATTTTCACCAAATGTAAGGTGAAGACACACTGAAGATTCTTGATGGATCTGCAGTCTAGACCAGCTCATCTGATTTATTGCTACACAATGCAGGGGCAGAACCTAGAAGATTATAGAGTCTATTCACCTCATCTTCTTCCCAAGCCAGCAGTGCTTTTCTAAAGCCTAGATTCCAGCCTTCAGCTGTGTTCTTTCTCTGATAATAAACACTGACCACACCCATCTTGTCATTAGACAAAGAAAAAAGCTTGGGAAATTTCTCCTTAAAGCAAACATTACCAGCCCACTTATCCAACCAGAAATGAGCTCTCCTACCATCCCCCAATTCAATCACTGTGTTATGAAAATAAAAATTTTGCAGCTTTGGATTGGATAAGGATAGATTGACTATATCAGACCATACTCCCCAACAGTTAATGAACTGTAAACAAATAAATTGAGATTTGAGAATTCAAAAAAATAAAAATAAAAATAAAAAAGTGAAAAATTCATTCAAACTAGGAACCAAAACTAGTGAGACTTGTGATCCATATAGAAAGAAAAAAATAATAATAATAAAAAAAAACGAACAATTTAAAAAATTAATTCAAAAAATTTAGCAATAAAAGGAGAAAATGATTCAGTTGCTTCAACCCAAAAAATAAATAAAAAATGGAGAAAATAAAGAGAGTGTTGTTTAAGATTGGCTGTTCCAGAAGGCAGCAATAAGTGATGGAGATCGTGGTTCGCATTTGAGGCAATGACGTGTCAGTCTGATCTGATTTGATCAAAGGCAGAGACGACGAAGGCGTGCGATAATGGAGGCGATGGAGGCAATGGAAGCTTACGATGGAGGTGGAGGCAAAGGCGGGGGCAGAGGCGGAGGCGAGGATGAATATGGTGGATGGGTGCGATGGAGGCAACAGGTTAGTTCCTTTAGCTCTTTCCTGATAAAGAGAAAATTGGTTTGCACAAGGGGGTTAGGGTTTGGCTGTATACAAGGATAAATTGGTCATTTCATGTTAATATATAAGAACAAAATTGTAAGTTTAATCTATTTTCGCACGTCAATTCCTTTCGGTACACACACTTAATAAACACTTTATTATCAATATATATTAAAAACATAAAAATACACCAACTCGGTCCAATCTAGTTGGCCACCATGTCTTGTTTAAGATTTAGTCACAAGGAAGTTATGAGTTCAATTCTCCTTAAGGCCCTTGAACTAAGGGAGTGCAAGTGCTTAGGTGCTTTGCCAATAGTAGAGAGATTTTCTCCTATAATTACTAATCTAACAACCAATATTTGCTTATAAAAAAATAAAAAAATAAAATAAAAATACTCAATGCATATCTCTTTATTTCAATAATGCCCTTATTCTTAATTCAAAATTCTAATTTTTCTTCCATCCACCCACCATTTCTTTGTTTTCATTGCCGTTACTTTCAACTCTCCACCACCGCCACTCTCATCTCATTATCTTCCATTATAGACCTCTATAGTTAACCTCAAAAGTAGGCTTGTTGGAGTATATGGTTCATAAGGGAAGGTGGTCATAGGCACATGGAAAAGAGGCGATGAAAGGGAATATCAGAGAAGAGAGGTAGGTGGTGCCAACGATATAGGATGGTTGTGGTGTTTTAGAATTAGGGTTAGGTAAAAGAAGATAATGATATTATCATATTTTTATTTTTTGATTAGCAAGAAAAACTTTATTGATAGCATCAAACTGTATGGATAACATCAATAAAGCGGAGGCGAGCAAAAAGCATCATAGTGAAACCCTTCAACCCAACTATGTTGGCACCAAGAAAAATATCCAATCATATGCTAGCTCAAGCCAAAAGGGTGGCGGGAAGCCAAACCCAAAAAATAGAAAACAAAAAAAATTACAGAATAACAACATTCAAGTCACAAAACAACCATATCAGCATCTGAGACTCAAACAACAAAATAGAACCAAAAAAATCATCCCCACCAGACCAAAATCATCCACAGCAACAGCTCGATCAACAAACAAAGAAAATACCCATAGCAGCAACTCCATTTTCATTAGCAGCTCAGAACCTACACCAGAAGATAAAACCTGGATCTTGCACCCACAACAGCACCTCCATCTTCATCTGAGTCTCAAAACAACCAAACTAGCATCTGAGACTAAAACAACAAAACTGAACAAAAACAACATCCCCACTAGACTAAAATTAGACACAGCAACAGTTGAATCAACAAACAAAGAAAATATCCACAGCAGGACTCTCCTATACCAGAAGCAGTTCATGAGGCTCCTAAACAATTTCTAACTTTGTGAAAATTTAACACAACATCATTAACTGAAATGAGGCACCAGTAAAATGGGATCTCATCCAAATTGATATCCTCACCTTTATACACTTATAGAGATCATTAATATGAGGTTGGGTTGCCTTAAAAACACATCCATAAAATTGTATTAAGAAAAATATTCATTAAGTATGTGAACGGAAAAGAATTAATACGTGAAAATAAAATTACTCATCCCATTACTTTTGCTATTATTGTTAAGAAGATTAGTATAATTATATTAAAATAGTAATTTTATTTTTACTAGTGTAATTAAAATTATGAGATTTCATTTTATTTTTTTATTTAAAAAAAATCATATACAAAATAAAAATAAAAATAATCAGCTTGTTTGGTTTGGATTTTTAGGATTCACTTTTCAGAAAATTAAAAAAAATTTATTTTTCATATTTTTTGTTTTTACTAATTTTTTTTAATATTCTAAACAATTTTATTAATTTTTAGATACACCTTACACTTAAAAAATATAATATTTGTTAAAAAAATCTTTCAAAAATTCACTAAATACCAAAAATAAAAATAAAAAATTTGAATTCAGTATATTTTTCGTATTCTTATGTATTTATTAATTTATAAAAATATTTTTTAATAAATGTTTTAATTTTTAAATATATCTAAGTAAAGTGTATTTTAAAAAAAATATTTACACATTAATAATAAATTTTATAATATTAAAAAATAATTTTATAAATTTTATCATGTATTTAAAATTACTTTTGGAATTTACCTGTTCACTTTTTTACATCCCTAAACATTCCAAGCATTAATATCTCGCCCCCCTCGTCCGCTACAGAAAAAGGCACAATAGTTAAGAGAAGAAGCAAAGGATCATTCCCACCACTCATTCGCTCAATCATAACACATCCCCAATAACACTCTTCTCTCCCGTCTCTCTTCTATTTCCTAAATTTACAAAAATAAAATAGTGCTACTACACATATTAATTAATGTGCTAATTAATTTATTAATATTAATTATAATATTATTATTAATTTTACTCATTATATAAATTATAAATATCAAAAATATTTTAAATTAAGTCACATCATCAATTCATATATTAGTTAATACACTAATTGATACATATAGTATTAGTCAAAATAAAATTATGGTGGTATTACATACACTAATTAGTGTACTAACTTATGTACCAACATTAGTTATAACATTATTATTGACCTCATTCATTAATCACATTACAATTACGAAAAATCTCTTAAATTATCACATCATCGATTGATACATTAATTAATACACTAATTAATATATATAGTATTATTCATAAAATTATATATATACCAATTAATATATTAACAATAACACCTCTGAATCCACCATCCACCCTTCGCCCCCACAGAAAAAACCACCTTTTCCTCTTCCCGACCCACATCAAAATACCACTCAACTCACTCTCTCTCTCTCTCTCCGTACACCCACTACTCTTCTCTCTCTCTCCCTCTCTCTCTCTCTACCTCTGCCCTATCCCGACCAGTCCAGTCCCATCCTCATCCTTGAGTTTTGGACTCACTCTCTCCCTCCTCCATATTTATCCCTCCACCTCCCTCTCTCGGTCCTCCCTTCTCTCTCTCCCTCTTTCTATGTGTTGTCTTCTCTTTTCTTTGTCTTATTGTTGATCTACACAATCTTCATCAACTATCTACACTCACTCTCTTTAACTTCTTCAAAGGATTCTCTCTCTCTCTCTCTTTCTCTGATCTGGGTGATCTACAATTCTCTCTCTCTCTAAAAATGTCAGTGGACATGGCGTCCGATCGTGTTTGTTACGTCCACTGCAACTTCTGCAACACTATTTTGGCGGTATATATTTATTACTTGCAATTCTCAAATCTCTTTTATTTTCTCAGACTTTTCCATATTCATTCAAAACCTAACTAGGTTTTTTTTTGCTTTCATGGTGAAAATATTAATTGTGAGCTTGTTGGTGTTTTCTTAATTAAGCTTCTCAGATGATATATGATAATTGAAACTCACATTCAATCAGAATTTTGTGGATAATCATGACTGTTTTTTAACAAAATATTTTGGGATCGACTCGACTTGATGCTAATAATTCTTAATTAACTGGAATTAGCTTAAGATTCTTGCTTATATATTTTACATTTTATGGAAATTGTAAATGGGTTTACCTACAATCCCTCCAATATTAGTTAATTCATTAATTCCACAGCAAATAAAAAAGGCAGTAGTTTTATTTTTTTATTTTTTGTAAAGAAATATATTTTTTTGCTTTTTTTAAAAATTAAAAAAAATTAAAAAGTTACATCTGCAGCCCACTGAAAGAAATGCAAATCGCAGTCCAGTGTTCTCAAACCCTAGCTTAATGATCTACCAAACTGGTATATATATAGACATATCTATATATGTAACCAACAGTAGCAATGGATAATAGCAGTAACAAGTGGCATTCCCAATGCCTTTCTATATATATATATGATCCATATGAAGAAGTTGAAGATAGTTAGAGCTACAGCTATGACTGTATTTAGGTCTCATGGTACAAACTTACAAGTGAGCATTTAAGCTTTTTTCTTCCCGTTTGAGAAGACTACCCAGTTTCATGTCTTATCCTACCAACTCAATTAAATTCTCTTGCAGTGTTTGAGAAGTGATTTATGGAGAGAAGGAAAACTGAAAAAATAAATTTTGTTTTGTTTACTTTTTCCTTTTATCATCCCAACACAACAACTCCTGTTACTTGTGGTTTCCATATTTAATTCGTAATTACTCATCTTTTTTCTTCTATTATTTTTGAATTTTTATACTTTTGATCGGAACCCATAAGTAATTGTTCAATTTTTATCTTTTAAAAGATGCCATTACCATACTCCCCCCTTCTCTCTCTCTCTCTCTCTCTCTCTCTATCTCTCTCTCTCTCTCTCTATATATATATATATATATATAATAGCGATGGCTGAAAATTCTCATTTAAAAAAAAAAAAACGATTTAACAATTATTGAATGTAGAGGGCATTCTTGAAGAAATTAAAAATAAATAAATAAAAGGTGATTGCATACGACCAGCCAAAGTTTTAGTAGTCGAACTCAAGACTTTAAATCTTATCAAGTGTGTTAAAGGTGGGTTCTCCTGTTCGCACCAACTATACGGCAGTGAAGAACCAATCAATAAATGCTGTTTGCCTGGTTCTTTCGCTATTCTCAGTTTGGTTTTAGAGTATTTCTTTGAGATCATCTCCTACAAGAAGAAATTATTGAAAGAGCTGCCAAGAAAGAAAGAAAAAAAATCATGGCCATAGCAAAGGCTTTTTTTTTTTTTTCTTTTTCAAACGCCCTTTCATCATATCATACCCTCTTTTGAACAGTCCTTTTGAGACCATTCTCTCTCTCTGTGCTTATACTCTCCTCTCCTATATATCTTTTTTGAGAAATCAAATTTGTGTGATATATTCTAGTTATGTCGTTTTCTCTCTTTCTCTCTCTAGCTTGTCGTGTCAGGCAGAAAAAGTCAGGAGCACTGAAAGGAAAGAGATAAATTGCAGGGCTCTTTTTAACATTAGTGAAGTGCTTTTTTTTTTTTTTTTTGTATATATATTGATTTTTTTTGTTGATAACTCAGGTATTCTCAATTCGCTGATTTTAAGGGAAGTCAGGACTAATGTGAGGTTGACTCAAGGGAAGTGCTTTTAGTTATTACTATGTGAGGTCGACTCAAGGGATGTGGCATTTTAGTAAGATTATGGGACATAAGTTATAAGATCATAGGTTTTATTTTTTTTTAGGTTAACGACTCAAGCGACAACACATATGATTGGTCGGATGTATCTTTCAGGTTCTGGTAAACCATAGCTAGTATCAAGAATGTGGGTTTAAATCTCCACGTGTGTGAGTCTATGACTCTAACGACTCAAGTGGCCTTGCTGTGTAACAATCACTTAAGAATCATCTCTCACACTTTGACTCCTTATAAGATATAACCCCAGAGATTAACCCTCTCTGGTTAGGCTTTATGTGAGGTCTATGTGATGTCTGAGATACTAACAAAGAAGTGCCCCAGCTTTACTCTATCCCAATAATGGATTCATAAAGAAGAGATAGGGCTTTCTTGAAGGGAAAAATACTGTAGTCTTTTCTCTAGCATTCTCATATCTATCCTTCTTTTTTTTTATATATGTATACATGAGTTTTTTAAAATTTATTTTAGAATATATAGTTATTGGCAGAGTAGAAGCTTTTCGAGTTTCTGTTTATAATTTATTAGGCAAAAATAACTTACATAATTGATTTCTAAAAGCTGGGTTGGAGTGCATTTGATTTGCGCTTTTGGAGTATTAACTTTTAGCTTCAAACAGCACACAACATGAAATATCTGCTTAAATCCTAGTTTGGGTAGCCTAAGTGGCTAATCCTTTGACCAACAAATTTCTCTTAATGGGGGTCTTGGGAGTGGAATGGAAAGCAAGACTAAAGTGCTTACAACGAGAGGGTTGAAGTTCAACTTTCCAAGTGCTAATAACAACTAATCACTGATTTTTATTGATCCCAAAAAAAAAAAAAAAAAAAGGGAAGAAAATTCCCAGTTTGGCTTCAAATCTGCAGAAAAACACAGTTCAGAGTCTCACTGTGTGTGTTTGTAAGAGAAAGAGAGAGGACCACAAAACAAAACACAAATACAGATTGGTTTTCATGACATACATATAAATATATAACAACGCATTTTGGTAGATTGGTTTATATATATATATGTATATATGTATTTCATATTAGGTTGATATTCATTGCAGGTTAGTGTTCCAAGCACAAATATGTTGACAATCGTGACAGTTAGATGTGGGCTTTGTGCTTATTTGCTCTCAGTTAATATGGGAGCTTTGCTTCAGTCTGTTCCTCTTCAAGACCTTCAGGTAATAATATTAATACCATTACTCTTGTGTGTGGACTGTGATCTCCTTATTTTTTATTCATCACTCATTTCTGATAAATTTCTATTTTCAGTAGAAATTTTTTAACACAAGTATAATTTACATATGTTTCTGTGAGAAATATTCAATACTACTTGTGCTAAGTAAATGCTAATATGTTTTCGGATTGAGTTTTGCTTGCTTTAACTTTTAACTAGTGTACACTCACATACTATTATTTCATTTTGAAAAATGATAGGCACATAAAATTATCAAATAAAAAGTGCATCGTGTAGTTGAGATTTATTTTAAATTTGGATCACACTACACTGGGGATAATTTTCAGTCATATAGTGCATTTTTTGTATATACTTTCGTATTTTATTTCTATACACCTAGCATCCAATGGTTTTAAATAGCAGTATTAGGTAATGCATCGATATCAGTGATATTATCAAATATCAGTCCATCGTATCAGACAATATCGACCAGTGAAACTGTAAATGACGGGTATCGGAGTTCCCAAATACATACGTATCGGTCAATATTTAGAACCTTGACCTAATTTTATATTATTTTTTGTTAGAGAAGCTTGTCTTCAAAATTAAAGATGGGATTTATTGTCAATTTTCTTAGAATTAAATATCAAATTGCAAACATATTTACTTTGATGTCAAAAGACTTCAAGAATTTGATTCCTAAAACATTATTTTGAAATGTTTTTTAACAGTGAGATTACATCAAATAAAAGGAAGGAATTTGGTGAGGAACCAAACCCGAAAGGAAAAAACAGAAGAACAAAAACACAGACAAAGAACCAAAAACAGAACAAAAACTAAACAAGGCAAGCACACAAGCAGGCATAGCAGACCAACAGAACCAACCAATGAAACAAACAGACCATCAGCCCACAAATTCCTGCACAAAACAGATTGACAGCCCACATAGCAGAGCACCATCTACCCAAATTAACAACCCACCAGCACTCCACCTTATATACTTTCGTATTTTATTTCTATACACCTAGCATCCAATGGTTTTAAATAGCAGTATTAGGTAATGTATCGATATCAGTGATATTATCAAATATCAGTCCATCGTATCAGACAATATCCACCAGTGTAACTGTAAATGACGGGTATCGGAGTTCCCAAATACATACGTATCGGTCAATATTTAGAACCTTGACCTAATTTTATATTATTTTTTGTTAGAGAAGCTTGTCTTCAAAATTAAAGATGGGATTTATTGTCAATTTTCTTAGAATTAAATATCAAATTGCAAACATATTTACTTTGATGTCAAAAGACTTCAAGAATTTGATTCCTAAAACATTATTTTGAAATGGTTTTTAACAGTGTTCTTTCACCATCAAATGTTTTTCAATTAATAGTTTCACATTTTCATAAACTTTTAAATTGCATAGCTAGAAATTGTTAGGCATGTTAATCAAGAGTATTTATCGAAGAGAAATAAGCAATTTGTTTGATTTCATTTTCAGAAAACAGATTCTGGAAACGAAACTCAACAGAGTGAAAAGGATTTGGTTGTTGATACATATGTTTAATTTGGTTGAGAAATGTTGCAGAAACAACAATCCAGCAGTTTAGAAGATGCAAGTAAGGAGAGTGGATCATCTTCTACATGCAATAAGTTTGGTTCATTCGAGTCTGCTGATCACGAACCTCCTACAATGCCTCCTATTTGCCGTTAGTCTCTCTCTCTCTCTCTAAAATCTTGTGTGTTATAGTGAGAAGATAGTAGTGGCCTAGTACCACTCCAGACTAAATGCATAGCGTACTACATAAACCTCATTTAAGATTGACAAAAAGTGTTTTTTTTTTTTTTTTAAAAAAAGAAGAAAAAATTATTTATATGTTATAATTGGTGATAGCAGAAACTTAAAATAATTAAAAAATGTGTAGATTTAAGGCCTCGTTTGGAAAGTAATCTTTTTAACTTAAAAGTAAAAAAATCATTAAAAAAATTAAAAAACTAATAACTTATATCAAAAAGTCAAAAATTATATTTTCTCTTTACTTTTTGTGTATCTTTTCGTAAAAAATTAAAAAGGCATCACAAACATACTAATTTTTTTAGGATGTGATTGAGACCCCCTCCAATCACCACCCCCCATACATACATGGCGGGTGGTGATTGGAGGAGAAGGGAAAAAAGAAAAAAAGAAAAGAAAAATTGACCAATCAGAAAGAGAGGGGGTCAAAGGGGGTGGGGGGAAAGGAGGTCCTGATCATTTTTCAAATTTTTTACATCATATTTCAATTAAAAAATTATTAAAAAAACATATTTCCAAACGAAGCTAAGTATGCATAGAGATGTATGGTTATAGGAGCTGTACAGAACTTCCTCAACTTATAATTCAGTCAAAACACTATGAGCTTGGTGTAACTTAATGGTTTAATTTAAAATTTGTGTCAAATTATTTAGTGGAGTTTTTGTATAAGTTTACAAAGTAAAAATAGTTTAAATAAAGGATAAATTACAAATATACCCAGTGAGGTTTGTTTAAAAAATGAGTTGTCTTTTGTGGTTTTGACAATTACATTGTGGCCCATGAAATTTCTAATTTCATAATAAATGACATTTTTTATTAATAAATCATCAGGTCAATTGATAATTTTTAATGATGTCAGAAATATGATTCAATAAATAATATAATTTTATTATTGTATAGGAGAGCAGTTAGAAATTTTATTTTTTTATTTAATTTTATTAAATAAAAGTTCTAATAAGGGAGTTTATGTAACTTTTCAAATCACAAGGGACAATCTGTATTTTAAACAAATCTCAATGGGTGTATTTGTAATTTTTCCTTTTTTTTTGATCGGCAAAGAAAATCTTTATTGATGAAAGCAACCAAAAAAGATAGACTACATCAGTATTTGTAATTTTTCCTTAAATTAAATTAATGGGTGAATTACATTTTACCCCTTTCAACTATTATCCCGTATCACTTTACTCCACTCAACTAAAAATTGTAACAACTAACCCCTTTCATCTACTAATTTTTTTCAATTTGAACATTTATGACTAAAATACCCTTTTAGCAATTAGATAAATACTTTACCCTTTTGAACTATCACCTCATGTCACTTTATCCCTTTGAACTATCTCTTAATATCACTTTTAATTCGGACTATCTTATTTTTGTTCATTTCGATCACTAAATTAATTTTTAGTTTGTTAGAAAAAAAATTAAAAAAATTTGAAAACCTTACAACGAAAATATTTATGAAAAGCTTTTGAAAAATGTTCACTAAAAACAAGAAATATAAAAATATACCATTTTTTTAGTTTTTTGTTTTGTTATTTTTTTCATCTTTAGTAATTTTTTTTTTTAAGTCTTCACAAATATTCAAAATATTTAAATTTTAGGTCCATCTATAACTTTAAATTTTTTGACTAATATATGGAAAAATTACTAAAAATAAAAAATAAGAAAAAATATATTTTTAAAAAAATTTCAAATTAAAAATCAAATATTTTTTTTTTAGTTAAGGGGATAAAGTAATATTGAATGATAGTTGAAGAGGGTAAAGTCTAATTAATTAACTCCTACGGGGTATTTTTTCCATTAAGGTCTGAATTGAAAAGAATTAATAGATGAGAGGGTTTAAGTGTTGCAATTTTTAATTAAGGGGTAAAGTAATATAAGATAATAGTTTAGGAGGGTAAAATACAATTTGCCCTAAAGTAAAAAACTGATGATTAAAAGCAAGATGAAAGGTGCCCTTATTATCAGTTTTCAGTTTACTTATTCCTTAAATCCTAGTTATCTGATGAAGTGTTCAAAAAAACATAATTTCAAACCTTAAACTAGTCAAAAAAAGACTTCACAACTCTTGGTAGTTTATTTTGGTGTTTTTTCTTATTGGTTTCTCACCAACTCTTTTGGCTTTAACTTGCACATAATTGAGTGTTCTATTTTATGCCAACTTAGTTGGAATTAAAAAGTTCACTATAATACTTGTTGCACTTATGTTGTTTTATTAATGTATTTCATATGTATTACATATTATTTTCATCAATAAAACTTTTATTTTGCCGATCTAAAAAAAAAATACAAGACTTCACAAAGCAACAGGAATGCACTGTCCTTAACTTGCAATTTTTTTTTTTTTGCACATAATTGAGTGTTCTATTTTATGCCAACTTAGTTGGAATTAAAAAGTTCACTATAATACTTGTTGCACTTATGTTGTTTTATTAATGTATTTCATATGTATTGCATATTATTTTCATCAATAAAACTTTTATTTTGCCGATCTAAAAAAAAAAAATACAAGACTTCACAAAGCAACAGGAATGCACTGTCCTTAACTTGCAATTTTTTTTTTTTGATCAACCAAAAACTTGCAATTTCAAAGCATCTTTCTGAAGATCACCACCACCATCTCTTGGTTCTGAAATAGCACATGAATTTTCACTTTCATTCATGACCCATTATATGATTGTGACCTCACACTTGGGTGTACCCAACTCATTACTAACATTTTGTGTTTGTTAAACATATGTGTGTGTGTGTGTGTGTGTCAAGTCTTTTTACTGTTGAATAGTTCAAGATGACTGTTCTCTGTTTGTGTCAGTCCCTAGCTAGGTGATGACAGTAATGCTCAAATGACCAATTTGACCCTCCCACATATTGGTTTTTCAATTTTGTGTCCACATAGAGGTAGCTCTTTCTGTGCCCATATAGGTCTTTTACTCATATGAAGGTGAGATTCTTGTGCAAGAGAGGTTATATGCTCCTCCTGATCGTATTAACTTGTTTTACTCACATATGAAGGAGGTACAAAACTTCTCTTACATGTACTCTTATGATGTTTGGAGTTTTGTACTAAGGAAACTCTTTCCATTTTGATGACCTAATGATATAGAATTTTTTTTTTGGTTTTAAATTCGTACAGAATAATGATGTGTTATTTGTGGTATTTTTGTTTCAAATAAAACACTTACGGCTTATAATTGTAAAAGTATCACTGACACATTATTTTAAATGAATTTATGCTCCATTTTTGAAAAAAAATATTTTTCATTGGTGATGGTAGAGGGGGCATCAACAGCATCAAATTTTGTTTCTTTTTATTATCAACAAAGGGAACAAAAATTTTAAAATATTTTCTACCTTGGAAAAGCAAAAAATATTTTTCACTCAATTAATTTTATTTTTCGTTAATCATGAAAAATATTTTCTGTTGATTTTCATTTTTTGTCATAAAAAATGTCAAAAAAAGTCATGAGCTCAACTCCTCTTCTCTCACCAATGAAAAGTTATATCAGGAAAAAAAAAATGTCAGTCTCCAAAGCTAGAAGTCATTACTTTGGATTCAATAAATGCTAACAATTAGTAATAGGTCCATAGTCTTAGGTAGCTTCCCCCCCTTCCCTTTCCCCATTTTTTCTTTAAGAAAAAGTCATAAAATTGCCCCTAATTATTAGGATCATGGCATGTTTCATGTGTTAGGTTATGTGTTTTTGGTGATTAACAGAGAGCATTGTAATGATCTTTCTCAATGTCTTTGAATTATGCAGCCCCAGAGAAGAGACAACGTGTTCCCTCAGCCTATAACCGGTTCATTAAGTAAGATAGTTTTTGAGAATCCATTTGCTTTTCTGGTCAAATATCTCTCTTAATAATAAGAGTAAATTACGCTGGCATCTCTTGAGATTTTCAAATGTTCATGCTAGAGTTTTGACATAAATATTCTTTAATTGCAAAGTGCATAACATTTTATTCCACTCCGATTTTCTAGTTTTTAACTGTTTCACATTTTTATTTTATAGAATTCGAATTTTACTCTTATACTAATTATTTTCAACAATTTTAAAAATAAAAATTGGGTGAAGAAATATGATAACTAGGAGCATTTTATAAAATTCTGACCATGAATGATTTGTTATGACAACATGTAAATGGAAATTATCCCTAAATAAGCTGCATGATGAGGAGAGATAATCACGCCCCAAAAAAAATGCATTTTACTTGTTTTGGGACCATTGTTTTTGAGCTATTTTTTTAATTAATTTAATTGATTTTGATATGAAGTAATCTGTTGACAATTAAAAACACGAATAAAAACTTAATGGAGAATTTACATTTTAATGAGAATAACTCGAAATAATTACATATCTGAATAAGAGAGTTGTGTCTCATGTCATATCTTTCACTTGCATCAAAGACAAGCTCATTTGCACGATCACACAAGTATAATTATTTTGAATTATTTCCATTTAAATGTACTCTTTTCAATTGTAATTTATAATCAAACTAAAAAAAAAAAAAGGGAAAAAAAAGACAATGTTTACATAATTGCTCCACATTTACAGAGAAGAGATTCAAAGGATAAAGGTCAGTAATCCTGATATTAGCCACCGGGAAGCTTTTAGCACAGCAGCCAAAAATGTAAGTTTACTTGAAACACTAGAAATTATTTAATTATTTATTTATATATTTTACATCTTGATCATATCATATTCCTTTGTATGAGTAACATAAAATTAATTAATTTCTGGATTATGTGGTAATAACTTTTTTATAATTTTAAATTACAATAATAGGTGTTTTGACTTGAAATAAAAAGACTACAAAAGACCACATTATTTTTGTATAAAAATTATGCTTGCATATCATTTGTTACAAGTAGAAAGGAAAAAAAAAATTAAAGAAAGAAAGGAAAAAATAAAAGATATTACCTTCAGGGATCAGGGTCTTACATATTGAGTTACATGTATCGATCAATATATATTAGGACTTTAGACTTCTAAACTAATATATCGGTTGATATTGACCAATATATGATCGTATAACTAATACAAATACTTATGTTAATACGTTGTTTTATTTATTTATTTTTATTTTTATTTTTATTTTTATTTTTATTTTTTGGCAGTGGGCACATTACCCTCGCATCCACTTTGGGCTAAAGCTGGATGGGAACAAACAAGCAAAGTTAAACAACTAAGTCATTTTGCAGGAAATGAAGACTCAAGAAAGAATCTAAGTGTGATTCTATTAAAAACCATGCCATGTTTTACATTAATACTGCGAATAAAATATGGTTTTGTGTCGATGTATAAACATATCTAAATCTGAGGTTAATCAACTATGTCTATCTCCTAACCAAACTGGACAGCCCTCTTTAAAACCTCAGCACCATCCTATATTATGTGTTAATCTATTTCTTTGACTTAGTATTATTATATATATATGTGAAGGGAATGGAATTCAATTTTATTTTTATTATTTTTTTTTTATGTTTAACTTTAAATATTGTAATAACAATGTTATTTTGTAATAATGCACATTTGTGTGTGTGGGTGGGGAATCCAGATTACTTGTGTTTTTTCAAGCGCCTTTCTTTGTCTCGTTGAATTTGATTGATTTATAATATTATTTTTTCAAACTTAGACAATCTTACGAAAAAAAAAAGAAGGAAAAAGGGCAAGTGATCTCCTCTAATGATGAGAATTACTTGCTTAATAGCAAGTACATATGAACACTGAAATTAAATACAGAATTGGACATAAAAATACACAAATAAAAATGATTTTATAAAATTTATTGATGAGTTGACTTCTAAAGCATCTTGTCAATTTATTTTTTGTCTAATTTTATATTTAGTTTGTTACTAAACATTTGCTACGCAAAATGTTATCACACGCTAATTTTTTTACTTGTATCTTATCACAAAATCAATCTGACCTCGCATATTATTATAGTTTTTTTTTTTTTTGGGGGGGGACATTTTTTTATTTTCTTTCAACATTTAAACATTACTAGGGGGGGTGTTTTCTCATTGTGCTGTAATTTCCTAATTTAAAGGTGGAATTGCAAATTGTAATGGGATGATAATGATGATGTATACAGCTCATGAATTCAGTTGTCGCATTCAATGCTCGAATTATATCATCAAATCAAGAAAGTGCCACCAGAATTTCCGGATTTTGATGTGAATGCTAAAAAACCAATGAAAACTTCCACATACCAAAACCAAAACAAAAAAACAAAGTGGACAAATGATAATCAGACTGTTGAGCATGGAAGGTTGGAAACCCTAAATATCATATCACATTCTTTGTAGATTATTACTAAAGTGAAAGGGTAGAAATTCATAATTTTAAATTCATAAAATTTATTTATAGTGATGTAATATGAGAGGTTGATTCTATGTGATTTGAGTATGTAATAAATAAAATAATTAATATATCTAGGTTAACTATCAATAGGTCTTAATAATTAGATTTAATTCCTATCAAATCTTATTAAAAATAAGTCATAGTAAAATCGTCGTTAAAAATAATTTTATGACGATTTTTGTATGTCACTAAAATTGACAATTAGTAACTTTTTTGTCACGATTTTTATAAATCGTCACTAAAACATACAATTAGTAATGTTTTCCTGTGACGAATTTTTCAAACTGTCGTTGAAAGTTGAAACTTAGCGACTTTTTGCAATATTTTTTTTTAAATTGTTGCTAAAATTTATAATTTTTTTTTATAAAATTTTCAAACTGTCGTTGCAAATTAACATTTAATGACGTTTTTAATAGTATTTAATAAAAAATGTCAATTAATTTTCACAAAACCTATTAGACAATAAATTCATCTATTAAGACCTGTACGTAAGTCTTCCATATATCTACCATATCATATCATTGGATGTTAAATTCAAAAAATATTTTTAGAGGTTTCAAACAATATCTTATTTTAAATCTCTCTAAATAAACAATTTTGATTTGTTATTCATCATATAATGAGAACTAATATCATTTAACGGGCCAATAAATTTTTTTTTTTTTCTATTTTCTATCACGTCATGGGAGCTAAGAAGCTTTATTTTGCGGTTAACGAGCTCAATTTTAACACGTAGGCATAGACCTAACCTACTAATTATTATTCAGGCTAGTTCAATTTACTCACAATCTTTAAGTCAGATCCATTTGGGTTGAGTCATAAACCTTTGAATAAAATGATGCCTTTTAATTTTAAATTATTTTCCAAATTAAATTTATTTAAAAATTAATATTGTTTGTGAAATTGTATTTTAAAAAATACAATTTCAAGATAAAATCATTTAAATTGAAAAAAAAAAAAAAGAAGAAGAAAAGGAATAGGGTTTGTTTGAAAAAACGCGGGGTGTTTGTTTTTTGGGGTAGTAGGGATAGGGGGAGGTGAGAGTGCAGAATCTGAAACGTCAAATCATGTTGTTGGCATATTGGAAGCTAGCGACCATGTGGGAACACACGCCCCCCTGTCCTGTCTATTATAATCTGGGATCCATTTTGGAGAGACTCTCCTCATCTCATATTCATGTAGATTAATGATGTATTTATATATATATATATATATATTTATTTAGATCAATTATAAGTGAGTGAGGGTTGTGGATGTAATATTTTGTGGGGTCCTAAATTATTACTGGTCTATAATATATATATAGGCAAATTGGATTGATGGTTGCTGCTGTGCTTTATGATATAGTAGTCTTGTTATAAGAGTTTGTAGAGGTATTTATTGAGTGTAATTTGATAATCTGAATAGTTTAGATTGTAAGGCTTATCGAGTATATCATTCATATAAAAAATTAAATTAATCGGATATTTGTAACTCAATGATTAAGTCCTAATTGTTTTTAAAAAATATTAAAATCATGATAATTGTTTATTTTTTGAAAAATAAATGTGCTCTTATTATGAGATTACAAATGTCCAATTAATTTGATTTTTTGTATCAATAATCTGCTTGACGAACTTTACAATATGAACAATTTAGATCATCGAAAATGACTCGGGACATGCCCTCAATGGGCCTCACAGCAACTTGCTGTGCCAAGGCACAACTGGATCCCAAATTTCGGGCAAATTAGGGTAAATTACAAATACACTCCTTCAGATTTGCTTAAAATACATATTGTCCCATGTAGTTTGAAAAATTACAAATACCCCCTTATTAGAATTTTTTATTTAACAGAATTAACTAAAAAAATGAAATTCATAATTGCTCTCCTATGTAATAATAAAACTACCTAAATTATTAATTGAAACATATTTTTAATATCATTAAAAACTGTTAATTGACTTGAAAATTTATTAATAAAATGGGCGATTTGTTATGAAATTAAAAATCTCAAGGGATAGAATGCAATTTTCAAAATCACATGGGCGGTTCATATTTTAATTAAACTTTAAGAAGTGTGTTTGTAATTTATCCTTATCTGTATTACGCATACTTAATGAAAACTTTCTTAGTTCATATCAAAAAAATAAAAATTCGCAATACAGTATACATCTCTTTATTCTAGCAATACCTATATCTTCAATTTTGAAACTCTAGGCCATGTTTGGTTTGGTTTCCAAATTTGTTTTCTGAATTTTTTTTTCTAGAAATTTAAAAATAATAATTTGGTGAAAAGAAAGAAAAAAATAAAATAAAAAACACTTGTTCTTTTTATATAGTTTTATCTTTTTTGACAGATAGAAATAAATTTTAAAAATTCAAAAATATATTTTTGATGTTTATTTTTGTCAAACTAGATTAATAATTTTAGAAAATCAAATCAAATGTCACCCTAATTTTCTTCTATCCACTCGCTTCACCCCGTTGCCACTACCCTACACTTAACCCTCCATTGCCGAGGGGCTTGTGGGTGACTCACATTGTAGAGTTTGTAGGAGTGTATGGTTCTTGACGGAAGGTGGTCATACACTACAGGAAATGCCACTTTTGGCGACCAAAATATTGGTCGCCAAAAGCCCCATTTTTGGTCGCCGAAACAAATTAGCGACTAATATTTTTTGTCGCCAAAGTCGTTGCCTATAGCCTGTCGGCGATAGTATTGGCGACTAAACTATTTTTGGTCGCTGAAAGTGAACGTTTTGGCTACTAAACTCTGGTTAGTCGGCAAAGGTTATCTTTTGGCGACTAAAATATTAGTCGCCAAAAGTGAACATTCGGCTACCAAACTCTGAGTAGTCGGGAAAGGGTATATTTTGGCGACTAAATATTTAGTCCCCAAAAGTGGCCACTCCATTTACACTACCACTACCACAACTTCACCACTAATCTCTTTCGCGAGGGCTAAGTGTGTAAAAAAAATTCACACTTTTTGCGAGGGCTAAGGGTATAAAAAAAAAATTCACTCATCATGGCTTATGAGTAAATAATACATATTTGTAAGACTTATTGATATTATTTCAGATTTTAAAATTTTTCTTAATTTTTTAATAATTAATTTTTTCAACTTTTTTAAATATTTAAAGCAAATTTGTTAAAGTGCTTTAAGTGCTTTAAGTGCTTTAAGTGCTTTAAGATTCATTTCTTTACTTTTTGCCACCAAAAGTTTTAGTCGCCAAATGATACACTTTTTTCCGTGACTAAAAAATTTAGTAGCCAATAGTTTATTTCTCTCATTCTCAAATTTTTTAGCTACTAATTATTTGATGGCAAAAACATTTTGGGTTATGTTTTTGCTACTAAATTATTAGTAGCCAAAACTTTTGATTACCTATTTGGCTACCAAAACATTTGGTGGCCAAATAATTTTCTGTTTTTTTTTTAAAAAAAAAATTTATAAACAACTTGTATTCATTTATATTACATGTACCCTGTATAAACAATATAATCCATCAACACTAAAATATATTATCAACCATAAAAGCATTCAACATAATACATGAATAACCATGATTTAAATCACATACATAATACATGAATAACCAACGTCAATAATTTAAATTACAACCTGTACCCTGTATAAACAATATAATCCATCAATACTAAAATATATTAGGGTCAATAATCCATACATAATCCATACAAATTTCATACACTCCAAGTCTAATCCAACGTCAATAATTTAAATCCATACATAATACATAAATAACCAAATTAATTTGTTCGAACCACTATATATACAAATAGAGGTATAAAAACAATGCCCTCCCGTAATTGTCAAAAAATTATATATCCACATTTGTATGTCCAAAATCATCTGAAAAAAAAAAAAATTTCATTAGTTGGGTGCCTATAAAATGTTAAGAAGGCTTAAAAGCTTTCCCTGTTAATGACATAGATATTCTTACATATAACACTTCTATGTTGAGATATCAGTTCCACAAATTAACTCTACATTTTAGTTAAAATAAAGAGAGAGAAACAATTTATAAAATTAAATGTATCAGAGAAACAATAGAAAAATAATGACATTCACACAACACTTTTAGAAAAGGGCCACCACATATGTGACCATACTCAAATGTCTACCAACTTCCTTTATTAAATAATCAAATATAGGATATATTATGGCAGAATGATCTATAATCACCGAGAGCTTCAAATTCTTACCATAACACAACACAATAATCTGCTACCCTCTCAATCAAGAAAGCAAAAGGATTTAATTACTTATGACAAATAGATTTTACGTGGAGCCTTCTATAAACATATCCATTACCTTCCCACTTCTCAACTTCAAGCACTTAAAGCAAACCAGGCTCAACAACCGCTTTAGTTCGCTCACATGGGAAGGATGATATACTGGAATTGGTAATTCTATATACCCAAAGTGACCTGAAAGGTAAAAAAATGAACAAAACTTTAGCAATACTTCAATGTGTCCAGCGGTCATGACCATTCAAACTTCTCAGTGTAATCAGAAAATAAAAAGGATTAAAACATGAAAGATACCTTCGCATGTCCCCGGTTCCGCAGCACCACATGATTCACATCGAACAACTCTTTCCTAACAAAACAAAATCTCATAAGTTATTGGCAAAAGTGGCACCAAACATTCTAACACAAATTTTCTAAAAAAACAAAGAATGCTCTAAGGTTGAGAATTTAACTGGATAAAAAAAAAAAAAACATTACGAAACAAATTAGCGACTAATATTTTTTGTCGCCAAAGTCGTCGCCTATAGCCTGTCGGCGATAGTATTGGCGACTAAACTATTTTTGGTCGCTGAAAGTGAACGTTTTGGCTACTAAACTCTGGTTAGTCGGCAAAGGTTATCTTTTGGCGACTAAAATATTAGTCGCCAAAAGTGAACATTCGGTTACCAAACTCTGAGTAGTCGGGAAAGGGTATATTTTGGCGACTAAAATAAAATAAAATAAAATAAAATAAAACAAAATAAAAATTCTTATGAATGGTTCAGTTTAATTTATAGCAAATTTTTTATGTTAAATTTTGGATACTAAAACTTATAACGTTATAATTTAGATTTATGCAGGTAAGTCTTATTTAATTATGTGGTCCTTTTTAATTATATAAGTGGTGGGAATTATCGTAAGTCCATCTAAAATATTATGTACCTTAATCTCAATTGATTAAATTATGTTCCATCCGTAATCAACTAACTCACAATTATGTTCCATCCGTAAGTCTGTAAGTCCATCCGTAAGTCCATCTAAATTATGTTCCATCCGTAAGTCCGTAAATTATGTTCCATCCGGATCAACCAACTCACAATTCGTAATAAAAGCATCAAAATCTCTCATACGCCTTGAGACTCCATCCCCATTCAACTTTTTTGAAGCAAATCCATTAACGTTAAAATCACCTCCCACAACAATTTGGCGAACACAACCCAAACAAACCAATTAACTCCAACAAACGACCATCTAAACCTAGGACTTAGGACCATAAACCCCCATAAGCTAAGCCACTCATCGTTGTCATCAAAATCTCTAAACCTTATAGACAAAAAACACCCTAAATACTACTTGTAGCTTACCGACCAAAATCCCCGAAGGATCTACTACTGAAAGATAAGGCCTCCTAACTCCTATTCCAAGTCCCCCAAATGCTCCTAAAAAAATTTCAATTTTACTTTCTAGAAAGATTACAATATCTGGATTATTCTTGATCAAAGTATCTTTCACTGCACTTCTCCTACTCCTAGACCCAAGGCCATGAAAATTCCAACTTGTTATCTCCATTTATAACTTATCCTACCTATGACCTCTTTTGCTCAACCATCATAATTAATCCTAGAAACCAAATTCCTCAACTATCATTTAGACCAATTTTTGAATTTTATAGAGGTTTCAGAATAGGTTGTTTTTGTATTGAGGGTACAGGTTTTTATCTTTGCATACGGATTGTGCATGTGCCTTCTGTAATAAATACGAAATTTTTATAAAACACCAAATACACAATCAAAGTTACTACCTACCTACCCAAAGCAATGAAAATCCTAATAACAACAAAGCCAAAGACAATCCATCCGAAATTCAAAGCAAAACATGACACAATCATATACTTCCATGAGAAATGCTAAAGACCCAAAATTGAGACTCACAATGATGTAGAAAAGGAGTTGGGACCTATATGGTTGAGTGTGTGACAAATCAAAAGTTGACACTTATTATGCCCCTGGGTCAAATTGAGGCAGCTTTTTAGGGGTCTCAAACATTTTCATAGTTGCATAGAACACCCAAATCAAATACAAACACATACATAAATAACTTCAAATTTTAGAAATTAAAGCCCTAATGTCACAGTCATGCTAACAATCAGCAATCCTAAACTCTATACAAAGCATAACTCAGATTCCACAAAATCCAATAATGAACACCCATCTACTTTATTTGGTACACACACAAAACAAACCCCCAAAAAAAACAAAAATTCAAAATCATATACGCATCTGCATCGATTGCAGATGCAAAAATAAAAAACATAGTAAAGAAAGAGAGAGAAACTTACAGCGGGAAAACGGGTATCGAGCTTTGTAGACACCCCATTTTTGACCGACCTTAAGACTCAGACGTCACCAGTTGAGCGCTCGGTGATACTACATATTATGCTCGTTTAGAAGTCTCAGAGTTGCGGCCGTGAGCCCTGCCTCCGGATTTCCGAACCCTCTTCTGTGCCTTGCCTCGGTTTGCAAACCAGACTCGGTTTTTCTCTGTTTCTTTTCCTGAGGGGAGGGAGAGGTCCCGTAGACCATCTCTCAGTGGCTGTGGGCTACATTTTGTGGCTGTAGGCCATTTTGCCCATTTCGGGGCCCAGTTCCCGGTTTTCGGAACCGTTGGCCGTGTGCCTCGGTTCGGGACCGCTTAACCATCTCCTATTGCTCCGAGTTTTGTCATACATCTTATTTACTCCCTTTTGAGGGACACTGAGGTCGGAGAGACCCACTTCGTGGTCGAGTGCCACTTTCGGTGCTTAACAGGCAGTTTTCGGGGCCCCGAACTGCGTGTTCTGGCCCCCGAACATTCGTTTTGCATCGATTTCCGTTCATTTTTGGCAGGTACCTCTGTTTCATCACCAGGAAGGCCGTAGAAGGGTGGGAGGCCAGCAATTGTTTCAGCAACCAGTTATATATCCTCCGGCGCCCTCCGACGCCCGTTTTTCTCACTTCCAAGCCAATGTTGAACACCTTTGGGCCATTTTCTTGAACTTTTAACCACATATTTGTGATGTACACACATGGGAGGACCCTAAAAGTTGGTGGCCGGCCACTAATGTTGCTTGACCCTTTTGAACCCCTCCTAAAAGTGGCCTATTCTCTCTCCTGTTTTACAGTTGACAATTTTGAACCACAGGGTTGTGTTGAGGGAACCTGGGAGGACACCAATTTGAAGTGGTCGGCCATTAATTCAACTTGGCCCTTTTGACCCTTGGCCGGCCGGCCATGGGAGGTGGCCGGCCGGCCACCTGCAACTGAGATAACTGGCCGGCCTTGATCCTTGCCCCCTGCTTAGTTCAGAACTGACCTCTTTGACCCCCCAGATTCTGTATCCGGAGGGCCAAGTTTTTGGGGGGAAACTTGATCCATTTTCCCCCCCAATTTTCCCCCTCTTTTTCCCCTCCTTTTTCCTATATAACAGAGCCTCCAGCTCTGGTTTTGAGGTTGGAAAAAATTGCCTTAGGCTCTTGCATGCATATCCCCTTCCATCTTATCCATTTTCCTTCAAAAAAACACCCAAACCCTACCCCATTTTCACACCACTATCTAGCATCACCACCACTACTCCATTTCTAGCAATTTGGGGAGATTTCCAGCAGCTAGGAAGCATCACTTCTCAAGCCAAGAAGCAATCAAGGGTTGGTCTTCAAGGGTAAACATCAATTCCCTCTTTTTGAGCTTAATTTAGCAACATTTTTCTAGCTAGTTTGCTTGCTGTTTTGAGCTCCGGCCAAAACTGAAAGTACCCTTTATTTGAGCTCTATTTCATGTTTCATTAATGAAATTTTGTCATTTGAGGTCCCTATCTTGCACTTGCTTCATTATCCCTCTTGTATGCCATAATCTTGCATAGTATTTTTGGCCTATGTGTGGTCTGTTTTGGAGCATGATGTAAACTGTAAGTGAGCTTATTTTGAGTCCTTCTCCAACATTGAAGAAGGGCTCATCACTGTTTGGGACCTCCATGTACCACTTGCCTTTATATCCCTTCTTTGGCTCCATTTTTGCATGACTTGTTAGCCTATTGTTCTTCTGTTTTTGGACCTTGGTCAGAACTGAAAGTGGCCATATTTTGACCTCTTTGTCATGTTTCATTGAGGGTCTTTGGCTGTTTGATGAATGTTTTGTATACTTTGTGTTTTGACCTCTTTTGGGCCCTATCTTGCATGGCATGTTGAGCATACTTGTATATTGTTTTGGGGGTTTCCATAAACTGTAAGTAGCCATATTTTTGGTCCCTATTAAGTGTTTTAGAAGAGCCTTTTTCTTTTTGGGCTTTGCATCTACCACTTGCTTCATTATCTCACATTTAGGGCCATTTTTGCATGCTATTTTTGCCCTATTTGTGTTTGCTGTTTGGCCATGATTTGAACTGTAAAAATTCTTATCTAGGGGCTGCCTTGCTTCTGTATTTTCATCTCATGTTCAAATTATGCATGCATTGCATAGCTATAGGCCATTTCATGTGCCAAAATCCATGTTTTGGGGCTCGTTCCATGCATCGGGTTTCATTTTACCGGGTTTCGGGACTGTTTTGCATCTCATTTTACCTCTGATTTTTGCATTATAGTGTGCCATATTCCATGTCTTTTCCATGTCTCATTAGAGTGGCATTTCGGTGCCTGAGGGTCGGTCCTCGATTTGCGTGCACGCGTACACGCATTTTGAGTTGTCTTGTTTTCATCTGATGGCCTCCTATGTGAGTGTGGCTGAGGCTCTCTCATGTTGATGTAAGCCCATTATTGCATTGCGTATGCCATTTCATCCATAGCATTGTGCATGCTCGGTTGTGTATTACCTCGTGCAGCGTGTATGCCATTCCATAACATTGTGTATGTTAGGATTGTATCTTAGTTGCATTTCATGCATGTCATGCATATTGCATTGTGCTTGGGATAGGAATTAGCCCGAGCACGGGAAACGAGATACGTTCCGTACTCGGAGTACGGAACGTGCCTCAATTCCCTAGTCACCGACACTCCGGATCATCCATGATGGAGTTAGGTTCTTGTTGTGTTTATATGTGCATTCATTCTATATTGAATTGCACAATTCGACCCCTCGACCATCATGCATCGATATGCGTGATTGGTGGCACGAGGATCGAGACATACATAGGACTATTTTCTTGAACTTCTAACCACATATTTGCGTTGTACACACATGGGAGGACCCTAAAAGTTAGTGGCCGGCCAGTAATTCCAACTGACCCTTTTGAACCCTTCCTAAAAATGGCCTATTCTCTCTCCTGTT